GGTACACGCTTGCATGTTTACTTAGTGAACTGAACAAATTGTTTACAAGAAATTTAAAACCGAAGAATCAATTTCCACCGCAAGAATGGGCGTCGATAAGTTTTTGTTACGTTGTTATGTGTACGAGAATTAATAATTGCACGTAATACATCAAGTTTTAGTAAAATATCAAAGTGTGAAGATTCGAGTAAAAAAAGCTCAGCACGGAACGTGTTAATAAGTCAATAGTAAATATTCGATGTGCTTTTGTAAATAGAAAACTGACGAATTTTTCAGTCGCAAATTATTTTCTATTATGCTCGCGCAGAAACTGCATCGCGCTTCGGTAGATCTAATTGGCGAAACTAATCGATTGTTCCAGGAGCCGAATGGAAGCTGTTGACCGAGGACGAGAAGCGGCCGTTCATTGATCAGGCGAAAAGGTTACGAGCACAGCACATGAAAGAACATCCCGATTACAAATACAGGCCGAGAAGAAAGCCGAAAACTTTGCGGAAGGAGGGCTACCCTTACAGCATTCCGTACCCCAGCGTGCCAATGGATGCAATCCGAGCTGGTAAGTCGGTCGTTCCATCCGGCAAACTTATTACTGCAACTTCGAAACTGCACCATCCACTTGGATCCTTACCGTAACTACCGGCACTTCTGATAAATCGGCAAAGTGTTCAGGAAGTAGCTGCGAGTATCGGGAAGCTTTCGAGCTTTACTCCGAGATATCGAATTAACATAACGCGGCCGTTTTACCCGTTTGCGGGCCGCAAGAATAATTTCGTACGTCTAAGTCTCTTGTATATTTACTCGATTGGGGATCGTTGCGCAGTCTTCAATATTTTCTGCATCGAATGCAGGAAGAGGAGAAGTTGAATTTTTACACACGTCGAAAGAATTTAATCTTTTTTTACATTGTTACTTTACTTACATAAGTAGATTACTATGGTTCTTGGTCTATAAAAGAAGACTCGGACACATTTTATTCGACGATACATTTTTGTACACGTTATAAGAATTTAACCATTTTACGTTGTTCGACAACAAATAAATTAGTATAGGACTCTTGTCTTTTTTTTTTTAAAGAGACACGGGCACATTTTATACTGAGCTTTGCTTTAAAACGATAGATTTTAAATAGTTCTGTTATTTTCACTATTTTATTTCACGCGTAAATGCATAAAATCAGCAGTCCAGTCGATGATAGAAACAATAAAAATAATAAAAATTCAATAATAAATTTCAATAACAAATGTTTCCTTTCTACTGCTACGAATTAATTACGTGCAAAGAAGTTCTAAACATTACGTCGGTGAAAACTCCAAAGCATTTCCTCCCTTTAATTTCATATAATCTGCTATAATACTTAAAACAATTGAGAAATACTGAACTGTATATTCTAACCTATCATGTGATAATTATTAATGACTACAGTCTAAAACAAATAATCCAAACATCAATGCCTGGCTCAACGTGGTACCTAAAAGGGTTAAACCGTAGCCCGAAAAACATGGAATCGTAATCCCATAAATTGCTTCGAATCAATTTTAAGCGGCACTCGTGCACATAGCTGCTCGGGAAGCCATAATCACGGGTGTTCTAAAGGCTCCATTGAGACTGTGCCCATTTTATTACGCCTGCGGTGAAACAATGCGATTACGGTACGAAAGGACAAGGCGGGATCGATCCTCACGGATCCAGGGAAACGGCACCGGGGCCTGTAGGTGTGTTGCGCGCCGCTTGCGGGGGAGTACAATGTGGAGGGAAAGAACAGTTCGTCTGGTAGGGCTCTGATATTCTTATCTTTTCGGCTCGCGTTTCAGCGGCATTGTTGCCGGCGATGCCTCCGGGATCCCTGGTCGGAAGTCTTATAATAGCGATTTCTTCGAGGTCCGCCCGACTCTCGTTTCCTCTGCCATTTTCTCCGGCGTCTCGTTAATGGTTCACGCGTTTGCCCGTTCCGCGTCAAAGACACGTACACACCGGCCCTTTTTCGAGGCACAGGCCCGCCGCGGTCTTATTATCGCGGCTACCCGATGCACTTGCACAAACACAGGCCGCACGAACACTTGCGTTTGAACTGCGACGCCGGCACTGGCCGCCGGTCGTCGCGCAACTGTCATTGTCGGGCTCTTCGATTTTCTAAAAAAATCGCTGTGAAGTCTCTGGAACCGGTGCTAATTAATTCCCAGCTCCGACGATCTTCGTCAAACTTGCGGAATAATGATACAATGTAATCGATGTTGGCTCATAAGAATGAGGAGATCGAATTTATTTAGATTTTGTCTGACTCGCTGTTTGCTTGCGGATATTTGCGATAAATAAACATTTAGATTCAGATAGAAGTGCCTTTATTTTCTAAATCATTTCAGTAAGTTGGAAATATTACATAGACAATGTTTTACTTTTTTTAAATTGTTAAAATTGTTGAAGTTGTTGAAATCGTTAATATTGCAGAAATTGTTAAAGTTATAAAATACATGTTGAAATTGTTAAAGTTATAAAATACATGTTGAAATTGTTGAAATTGTTGAAGTTCTAAAATACATGTTGAAATTGTTGAAATTGTTAAAGTATTCGATCGAATTCGGATTACCAAATGTAAATTTCTAAAGAATCGTTTTCCTCTCGCTAATTGAACTACCTCAATAATAACATCAAGTTTTGTATTATATAAATTTCCACGGACTCTCGCGATGCGGTGAACGTACAAGAACGAAAAAAAGAGAACGCAGTTCTTAACTGCATATTGTTCACGCAGTAAAAAGACGCGATAATGACGGCAATAATGTTACGATAGGAATAGCTGTCGCCGTGAACGGGCAGCGTGTTCTGCTCCGATTTCAGCGACGGCTCCTCCCGGTCGAACACGTTCCGTGCATGAAAAGAATCAGCATAAATCTGAAATATCACGGATCGTATCGGAATAAACAGGCACCGGCCGATCATTTTATTATAATTCCGTGGAACCTGTGGAAACGAGTGTCTCCGAGCAGCTCGTAACTTCCCTCTGCGTCCGCGTAAACGCGTTCGCGAGCACTCTCCTCCTGCTCAGGAATATCCACGGTTCATTCATAAACCCTGCCGATCCGTAGTATAGCCGGACAAAATTATTAATTCCGGCAACGGCCCGATTAAAGCCGGAATTTATCTCGTCGCCCACGCGACACCACGAAAAGTGATCGGTAATCCGCGATTTATCGGTCGTATTCCGCGTCTTCCCTTCTTACCGTCGCCTTTATTTCCTTTTCTTTCCACCAGTTGCCAGCCTTTTATTTCGCCCGAGAGGGTTTTTGGTACTTTGTCCCCGTCGTTTTCTCAGACGGCGAATAATAAAAACGACCGCGTAGGAAATTGCTTTTCATTTAAATCGTTCCACGGCAGATTCCCTCCTCTCTCTCTCTCTCTCTCTCTCTCTCTCTCTCTCTCTCTTTCTGGAAACCTGAACGCAGATTTGCGTTCCAATTACACGCTGTTCGCAATTGATTTCGTATGTTGCTGCTATTGGTCACGGTTCTCCGATACAGGAAACGTGTGTTGCACCGGGCTCTGTGGTGAATCGATGTTTCTCAAAAGTCTACTCGCGAAATATTTCTGGTTACTCCGAGTTCAGCGTGAATTTTTAGTCTAGACTGTGAATTTTTTGATTTTAAACTGCTAAGGTGGTCGAAGAATTTCGGAATATCGTTAATTTATTTTTATATATTTATTTATATATTTATTTCTATTTATTTATTTCTATTATAATATATTATAATACAATTGACCGAATTGAATATACATATATATACATTACTGAATTATATATATTATAATATATTATAACATATATAATTATTTATATATATATATATATATATATATATATATATATATATATATATTAATTATTTATTTATTTATATTATAATTTTGTCTACGTTAACAGCAATAGTACAGTGATGTAAAAGAAAGCATTAAACATGATAGAAAGAATTATTGTGAAGGATTATAGTGAAGCATTACAACGAAGAACATTATTATAAATAGGGAACTACAAAATAAGATGTATATTATGCTCGATTAATTAATTCGTCGAAAGGGAATACACATTTTGCTTCAACTGGCTTAGCAAGTTCATTAAACTTGCCCGGCACGTAAAATGAATTATTGTCTCTAAACCGCGACGATTTTGGTCGCAGCCGCCGCCGTTCCGATCCGCGATAAGAGAATCTGCTACCGATTCCGCTCCTCTATTCTCGTTCTCCATCCACCGTGCTACATAAACCCCTTTTTTTCCCCGTTCGGCCGGCACGCCGGTTCGGACGTTGGCGGACACGTCTCCCCGCACGGTGGCACGCGCATAAGACAAGCGCGTGGGTGGCTGGGATAAATTATCGGCTTAGGCTGGAATTTCTGACCGCGGTTTCCGCTCGTCGCAGATAGCGACTTAAGCACGTAAGTTAAGGGGGAAACACGCCGTTTCTACTTTCGGTCGTGTTTCTACTCTCGATCCTCCCTTGGCCGCGATAAACTGTGCGCCTCTGCCTAGCGATTCCCCCTGATCTAGCACAATCGATTCCACTCCTGCCGCGGACACCGTCGTAAATCGGCGCATTAACATCCGTAACTCGCCGATTATCGACTCGAACGCTATTCCGCGCCGGAATGACGCGGACGCGATTTTTCGGACATTTTTCTGCGATCTTTACGGTCATTATTTACCATTTTACGACGGTTTTTATCGGCCCGAAGGGTGGAAATGCACGATCCTCTGGAAATATAATCTTATTATTTAAATGTCGAGGATTGTTCAAATTGCGGATTTTTATGGAAAATCAAAATTGTCACGGCTAATTATAAGAAACTAAAGTCTGATAAATATGTATTTCCTCTTTCGGTCGATTTAATATTGGAAACGCGTTCTGAAATTGTTCTGACGTTTTCACGGTTCCGTATGTAACCTAGTTATTCTAGTAAAAAAATGCATAAAATCCGCAATCTAGACATCAGTCGTTCCAAGTTGATTGTAAGAAACTTTTAAGAGGCTGTATTTACGTTTCTGTAGATTCTTAGCGAGCTTTGTCTCTGACTAAAAATTAATCACTGGTCTGTGGAGCTTCATACGAAATTGCCATTTTGTTTACACTTTTAAATGTTGCCATTTCTTCGTGACGAGTGCAAACTGTACTCGTAAGTCAGTCAATTTTTTAAGAAGAATATATACTTTGATATTCTTTGTAAAACAAGATATTTTATAAAAGTGTTGTATTCAAATAAAATACGAATAAGATTAAACATGAACAATATAATTACAGTAATTTATGTACGTTTCAAAGAGATTGCAACAGCTAACTAGCCAATCACAATTCTCCTTGAATTCACTTTCGTGTCTAACAAATAGTCATTGCAGCTTTTTCCAGATCCAAAGATTTTTATGCAATTTTTATGCAATCATACCAAAAACGAATAGATCAAACTGAAAACGTTGAGAACAATTAAAGAAATAAATGTCTGCGAAGTTCCTGCAGCTCGCAGACACTGCACATATTTTTTTTACTGTTGCCTAAAGATCCGCATTCTAATAATTTTACGAAGGTTGTTTCGGTTCAGTTCGAGTATTCTTGGATAATTAAAAGACCCTAATGTTATCGACGAAACACTAAGTCATGCATCAAGGGATACGCAGCATGAACTGATAAATTTCCTGGTGGAAGGCGAATGAAGCGATCACGCGACGGCCCCCGCGTTTATTTTCAAAAACACGGGTCAAAAGTTATCGCGAGGATCGGGAGGCCTCGAAGGGCTCGGAATAAATCGTCGAATAAGTCCCTTTGGCGCGGAAGGGCAGCGCTTCGTGCGGACGATTCATTGGCCTTATGCACGCGAGAGTATAAACATGTCGCTGGCTCATTATTTATCGAATTGTCTTAGTGGCCGGCCCTGTTATCCTCAAGACCGTCTATAATTGCGCCCCGGGTACTTTGGCGGTAGCACGTGACCGCTCCACCGGGATTATAAATGGCCAATAGTGATTTATACTTGCAAACAAATCCGACAACACAATATTTTTCTCCATGAATTTCGCCGTCATAAGAATCAATTACGACGGCATTTGTAATAAATATTAATTTCATTTTTATTGTGATCAGCAAACGAATTTTTAGGTAGCACAGAAATATTTTACCGATGGAAATAATATAATAATATAATATCATAATATATATTGATATTACATCATTATTAGATTGCAGATTATTGTGCACAAATTTTCTGCAAGTTACTGGAATCAAATAAAAACATTCTGTCTAATAATTTAACGATAGAACTGCCAAACAAATAAAGATAACTGGTTTAGAATCCTTTCCTTTACAGTTTCAGATATTATAAAAATATTGTTAGGAGAAATTTTTAGATGAACTTCTTTATTCAAGATTTTTTATTCAAGATCTTTATAAAATTAATTTACAAAAATTAATTTCTCGTTCCCTTCACGTAAAATATAAAACCGTTTCAATTTTATGGAATGTTTTAATACTTTGTGAAACACATTTTCAAGATACGTTAATTTACCTACGAACATTCTACTTTCTTGCTCTCTTTGATAAAAAAGTACTTTATGTTTGTCCGTAAATTCAACGAATCTTGAAAATTAATGAATCGAAGATTCGATACAAAATCCGAAGTATGAATTTTGCGATGAATAATAATAAATACGTTAAAGATAAACGTTCCTCTAGAATAAAACGATTTTCTATTTGACATAAAGGGAAGGGACTTAATCCGAGGGTTATTTTTGAGGCTTAATTACCGAGTCGATCAGAAACGTGTCGCGTCGAATTAGTCGATCCCGCCCGTCGATTTCAATCCGTCTGGCCTTATCTCGAATTCGCCGTAAAGAATTTCCCCGCGGAATCACGGGTAACAGATGTTCGATGAATCGACGTTCCTCCTTGCGTACACACGCTGCTCGCTCTCTCTCTTTCTCTTTTGCTCTCTTCCCCCGTCAGTTTACACAGATTTGTTTGACGTTCCGGCCTCTCCATTGTCTTCATTGTTGCCCGCCTCATACTGGATTACGTAATTTTGAATTTCTCCGCGGCGCGGCGCACAGCGAGTCAAAGAAAAACGGGAGAGGGTTGGAACAATCGCGCGAAATTATGATCGTGAATGGCCGATAACTGGAGGGTGGGTCGAGCGGCGGGGGCGCGAAAGGGACGGCGACAGGCGAATATTCGATGCATGAAATTTCCATTTGGCTGTCACATGGGAACAAATAGTTGGCGCGAAATCGATGCCGCGACCAGAATACCCCGATTCCGACGAATGTATCAAGATTCGCGGCGAATTCCATTTAGTCCGGCCGGACTTTTCGCTTTTCCGAGTTCTTTTCTCCCGCGTTAACGCGATACACGCCGCACAGAATTATTCAAATTCCCGCGTGCAGCCGGAAATACGATTTTTCTGCTCATTTTCGTTCGACCGTGCGCGGTGAAACAATTGCCATTTTCTGGCGAAAACTAAACGAAGGATTCTCGTTGTTCGAGGCTTCATTGGTTTGATCAGGCGGTTGACGTTTAAAGCTTTCGCTTCGTAAAGCGTGATGAATGGAGAACGGATGTTTATGCATTTACAACGTGTACGAAGTTTTAAAATGCAAGAGAACAGCATTTTTACTTTCGTTTTGCACTGACTAATTTTTTCATTGACAACGGAAATTTTTCTTTCACTTTAAATATTGTACAATGACTTATAAAAATGAGAATTTCCATAATGATGAAATAGGAGCATGGCAAAACTTTCTGGTATCGTTCATTTTCACATATTTACAATATTTATTTTTGTACATAAAAAATAGACTTCTCATTTTCGTAGGTCATCTTACAAAAATTCGAATTAAAGAGAAGTTTCCTTCGTCAACTAAAAGCTTACTCGTGGTAAAGAGAAAATAAAAATGTCAATTATACGTTCTGTTGTATTTTAAACATCTGCACTTACATGAGCGTTTAAATTAATTTATGCTATATTCTTACTTAAAAGTAAAATGAAAATATAAATTAAATTCTTACTTAAAAGAACGAAACACCATTCACAAATTATTGAACAAATTACTGCCAAAAACAGAATCGCGAAAGTACAACATCAGCCGAAAAACCCGTTAAAAACCCAAATGCGAATCCTATAATCTCTCGATTCTTATCGTCACCGTGGAAATCCCGGAGCCAGAAACGTATATTAAAATGTTTCTTCGTTTCTTAATTTCATTAATTTCGCCGCGCGTCGCTGGGAATGCACGGTTACAAAATCGCGACTAATACGCGCGTGAATTCCTCGTTGCCGATCATAAATCTCGCCGCCAATCATCCCCGGCCTTCTTCTTCGTTCAAGGACCGCGGCGCGGAGGCATCAAGCGACGTTTCTTCGTCACCGTAGAGATTCAACGTCGCTCCGACAATGGGGCCTTCGTTGCTATAGGTATTCTTTCGCCGCGTTTCCGTCGTTCGACGACGATGATCGATAAGCCGGCGCTCTTACACGTCGTGGTACACGCCGGCGGCCCCCCGATATTAATCTCGACGAAAATGCACGCTTGTTCGGTTAATCATTGGCATTGTCGGTCCTCGAGAGCCTGGGATCGAAGACGAAGGAACGCTCGCCCGGATCGCGCTCGATTAGGTTATTGTCGGCGCGCCGTGCGTTTCGGGAAAACGGGACGCTTTTGTCTCCTGTCTGTTCCACGATCCTGATCCCGATCTCGATTATTCCGTTTCACGATCTGCCAATCGGATAACCCCGACGCGAGCTGTATTCGAGAAAATACGCTCTTCTTTCGACGTCAACTTCGGTCTTTATAACGATGTTTGACATTTATGTCGTGTATATTTACGCGCGTTAGCTATGCTCGGCATGTCTATTGTGCGTTTCGCGATTGTCCGATGTATTCTACTGTATTGTCTTCTTACAACGAAGTGGCCATTTTGTGTCTTCAGAAGGATTTACGACGGGAGGTTACATTCCGATTTACAACTGCTACCGGTATCCATTTATGGTACCATTTTTACGCTCTTGTTAATAAAATGAATACGAAACTATATCAGATACAAAACTATAGTTTTACGTTATTTTTAACTTAATAATTGTTAGAAGAGACGCTTTCTACTGAATTATATCTGTTAAAATTAGCTTAAACAATTTTTATTTCGTGTAAAGATCGATCTGGTCCGGAGCTCTTGTTCTAGGAGTAATTACTATAACGACCAGACTTTATGTAAATTAAAAACGTTTTCCAATAATTGCAAACAATAGGAACCAAACGGAAATAGCATCCTTTTTTTAATAGTTTCAATAAGATGAAAGCAATCCTTGGACACCCTTAAATCTTTTTAACACTAAACGAATCAAATTCTAAAAGTAACTGATATATATGTATCGTCTTATAAAAATTACAAGATTGAGCTTATTTAAATCTTTCACGATTTTAACAACAGTGCGTGTAAATTCGTGCATAAGGAAATATTCAATAATTTCCAACGGAAGCGAAATGTATTCATAATTTCGATAATTATGAGACGAAAAATATGAAACCGGTCATTTGATCGGCGCTGGTGCGTTTCGCGTTAACCTTTCAATTATTTGAACTTCCGTGCACTCGGTTTTATCGCGAGCGCATAAAATCCGCAGTCTAACGATGAGAAACGATTATCTCGCGCGAGCGAATGATACGCGAAAATTGAGGATCGCGCGATTAACTGATAAAATTGTCTGACGGATTCGATACGTTCTGTTACAGGGATGGCCGGCAGCATGGGACAAGCTGGAATGGGCTCGTACTACGGTCCTGCCGCAGCTTATGGTTCACTATCGGCGGCAAGCATGGCTGCGGCGGCGGCAGCGGCTGCCCAGCAGTCTGCGGCGGCGATGTCCGCGGGCCTTGCGGCACCTGCTCAGGTGAGTCGACCTCTCTTGTAAATAAATACCACTTGCGAGTCTCCGTTTCGTGTTTGCCCAAGTACCGAGCCCCACTTGTGGATTTAGTACGGTCCACTGGCAGTAGTACCTCGATCGTTGCACATAAACTGCTCCGGGAGCGCGTTCATCATGGTCCACAGAATTGCAAGGTTCACAAAATCTCACGTTTGCAACGTGTTCACGATTTATGCGCTTCATGTCATTTCGAACGTTAGATGGTCGCGTATTATTTATCACCGACAAAATATTCGTTTGCTAAAATATTTCCAAATTCATGGATGAAATTCGTCCTACATTTCGTAGCCGCTGCTAAGAATTTGTATACAACGTTTCATTAAAATAACGAATAATTATGATTTATGTACAATGATTTGTTAAAATAACGAATTACAAGAATTTCTATACAATTTTTTGTTAAAACAACGGATTATAATGATTTTTATACAATATTTTGTGAAAATAATGAATTATAATGATTTCTATACAATGTTTTGTTAAAATAACGAATAATAATGATTTCTATACAATAATTTGTTAAAATAATGAATTATAATGATTTCTATACAGTATTTTGTTAAAATAATGAATTATAATGATTTCTATACAATATTTTGTTAAAATAACGAATTACAAGAATTTATATGCAATATTTTGCTAAAATAATGAATTATAATGATTTCTATACAATATTTTGTTAAAATAACGAATTACAAGAATTTATATGCAATATTTTGCTAAAATAATGAATTATAATGATTTCTATACAATATTTTGTTAAAATAACGAATTACAAGAATTTATATGCAATATTTTGCTAAAATAATGAATTATAATGATTTCTATACAATATTTTGTTAAAATAACGAATTACAAGAATTTATATGCAATGTTTTGCTAAAATAATGAATTATAATGATTTCTACACAATAATTTGTTAAAATAACGAATAATAATGATTTCTATGCAATGATTTGTAAAAAGATAACGAATTACAAGAAGTTCTACACAAAAATCGCGAATCTGTGACGTTCGATAAAACATCAATGGAACCCAAAACAAATCGAATCGAATGAAGCAATGAAACAGAAATAAATGTGCAAGGATGTGCAATTCAGAGACGATCATGCAATACCATTTAAATTCTCCATAATCGCGCAGACTTATGAACCGGTTCTCCGTGGACTACGAACATTTGTACGCTTCCATGTGAAAAATCAGTTCCGTTAAACAGTAATTTCTCTAGAATCGCCACGATTTGTCAAGTGCATCAAAATGCACACGATTGCGCGGTGTCGACACGGTCACGCTACGATTTCCGATCGCGAGAGTGAAACGAATCGTGACAAGAGTTTCCGCAAGACCCGCCGCGATGGACTGTTGTTCCTCTTCTTGAACAAATGCTGGGTGCACCATAGGCGAACGCCCGGCGGCCGGGCCCCGTGGCGGTTTAGAAGATTGCGACAAAGCGGACGGAGTTGCGGGGAATTTTAATTGCGCATTGTTACAGGAAACGCCTGTTTTCGTTTATCCCGCGGCCGAATTCAGCGCACGTTGCGTTCTCGGCGTTGGCACGCTCGTTTGAACGGTCCGAGGCGTGCGGGAAATTAGGAAACCCGGCGTTTCCTTCAGTTCGAAGCGTTTCTAACGGCGGTGCTGAGACGTTCTTATCGCCGACTAGCTTTCGAAGTCAAAATTATCCCGTTGGTCGCTATAAGACTCTACAAATGTTAAATGATTTTATTGCAGAGACAAAAAGTCGCGCAAATCGCAAAATATATTGTATATTGCAGTCAGAATGTTGGAGAAAGGACGAGAAATCGTACAATGCAATCAGAAAGCTGTACGAATCACGAAACGATTGTATAGTGCAGTCGGAAAGTTATTCAAATCACAGAACAATTGTATAGTACAGTCAGAAAGTTGTTCAAATGTCGATAAATTATACAGCACAAACAGAAAGTCGAACTAACTTCAGAAAACTGTGTAGCGAAATCAAGAAGTTGCAAAAACGTCAGAAGATCTTGTGGTGAAATCGGAAAGTCGTACAGATCGTGAAAAAATTAGACAATGCGATCAGATGATTCTACAAATGTCAAGAGAATGATTGAGCACGGGGCGGTCATTAAAGAGTCTATCAACGAGCTTCCGGTAGCTAGCGTGTCAAGATGAACAATTTCATGAACAATTACACGATCGAACGACCAAGGAGGCATTAGTCTCACGTGGAGTGATTCTATAGAGAAGACAAAACAATGATTCCTCGGACGACAATGCACGATTCAATCAGGGAACAACACGGTCGATCCACCGCGGTGTATAGAGGGGCGAAAGGAGGGGGGAGGGGATCGGCGATCACGATTTGTCAGACACGAAAAATGCGTAAGACACGCTCGTATGGGGAGCAGCGTTATCGAGATGCAGGCGAAAAGAGCCACCCACGCGGTTATTTCTTCGTTGTCCCTATTCAGCGGAATTTGACGTCGGAGGAGCCGATCGGGAATCTCGAGATTTATATTCGCTCTTCGGCCCCTTTCGACGGTGTCGTGGAATTTTTCATCGGAAAACGAAATACCGTCGATCGGAAGATCTCTTTTATGTAAAGTTGTACGCTGTGAGGGTATACATACTTTCAAAGAATTCTGCATTTATCGAAAAACGGAGATTAGACTTTCTGTGATCTTAAATCGATGAATCGATGTTTGGACATCGTCTGGAATATTAGTACATATTTTTCTTTTTCTTTTTTTTGTTATTGTTTATGACATCGAGATATGATGTAGTTTTTCAAGGGAAATATTTTGGATGTTTTTTAAATTACCAATGTTAGTGGGTTCAAAACAAGTAATCGTTGTAAACTGTTCACCTGAAAGTTAAATTCATTGAATCTCCACACGTTCAATGTAAGTTGGGCTTTATTTTTGTTATTGTAAAAGTGGGCGTTTAGTCGTGTACATGAATTAATTAAATTATGTTAGAAGTAGCAGCACGTAGAGCAGAGTTTCTAGATACTAATAATTAGTAATCACTATAACTATTGATATTAACAATTATAATAACTAATTATGATAGTACTAGCTATTTATTGGTAACTTACTAGCTACCATTGAGTTATATTAAACTAAAAAATCCTTGTTTACGAAATATCAAACGAGATCGTACATTCCCCCGCGTACCATTTAATAAAATAATCTGTTTCACATTTATTACTTTAATACCATCAAAATTATAAAATCTGTATCGTAGAAAATTGCGAAGTCTATATTTTAATCCACGTACACGTATTACAATCAAAACTGTGATATAAGTTTCAATAAATTGAGTCTTGTCATCGTTACGAGTTTATATTCAGTCAGGTTTAGGTAGGTTTATAATGTTAAAATTGTTTCTGCACATTGAACTACTCGCATTTCCGATTCTGGCTGGAATAATGTGTTAGAGATTCGCAACGCGAAGTCAAGTCCGGAAGATCGAGAAAAGAGATGAACGAAAAGCAATGCTGGATCTCGGCTCGCCTCCAAAACAGCGACCGGCCCGAACAAAAAGCCGAAAGAAGCTCTCTCCAGCGGCGTTACATCACGAAATCGCGGTCGGTCGCCAAGCGAAAAGATAGCCAGCCGGGCGAAATTGCTCGTCGATCGGATGTCGATCGAGTCTCCTCCGGTCTCGAAACAGAGTCCGCCGTGGCTAGATCGTCCGAATGGAGCCGAGGTGAAGCGAGCAAGAGAGAAAGAGAGATAAAGATATAGATAGAGAGATAGGCAGATAGATAGAGGGGGAGAGAGGGGGGAGAGAGAGAGAGAGAGAGCAGCGATAGAAAGAGGAAAAAAGAGAGAATGAAAGAGGGAGATAGATCGCTGATGAGAAGCAGCAGGAGCAGCGAGAGAGGATATAGGAAGAGGAGAAAGAAGAGGAGAACGATGCGGAGGACGAGCGTAGGTACGTTTCATTCGTTGTCGCAACAAAGGGGCCCCCGGGTGGCTTCGCAAACAGAAACCGGAGACCGTGGTCTGTGTATGAATTTCCGCAGCTGGGTACGGGAGACAAACAGATAGCTAGTTATTTCTGCATTCAACGGCTGAATGGCCGACGCGTCTGGAACGACGCACCGACGCGATACAGCAGACTATTATTGGCGAACCGGCGAGCACGAGCGAAGAATTCCAACATGCGCTGCCTGTGCGCCTGTTATCGTCCCTTGGACGGAACGGCGGCGTCATCGCCGTCACCGGACACACCGTCATCGGCGTCATTGCCCATCGAGGGCGACCGTCTTCCGATCGGCCATCGTTCCTTCCATGCCTTTTCCGTCCGCGAGCCGAAATTATCCGCGCCGCCGGCGGAGAAAAGCTTTCTAGCATCGGAAATGTTGAAATGTGCTTTCTCATTCAAATGAAGCATCGTAATAATTTCACTGCGGATTTTTATGCAAAATAAACACTGCGTTGATTAGAAGATAGAAAAGCTACATTTCTTTCTTTTTCGAATTACGTTATCGAGTTCGAAATAGTAGAACGGTACTGCTAAATTCTTTAAACGCTTTTATTGTTCTGTATTTGATCTGCTTAATTTTGTCAGAAATACGTAAAATCGGCAGTATGGTAATAATTAACAGCTGTCGTCGAGAACAAACATTGCATCCGCCAAGAAGATCCTGCTTAATGAAATTCTGTGTGATCAAGGATGCGCAAAAAAATCTTGATTATGTTCAAAAGGAGTAGCTGCACTTTGAAACAGTAGATCGGAAGAATTACAAAATACTGATCTACTGAAATGATTAAAACGGGATAGAAGTTCCTAAGATCCTCAGCCTGATCATAACGTAAACGTCACGATACAATGATCAGAATCCTGAACGAACTGGAAGTAAGAGTTATTAAAGATAAAAAAATGAAGCTCGAGGAGCTAACAAGAAAATCTTGAGAACGGTAATGAACTGTGTGCACTATGTGCACTAATGTTGGAAGCTTGAACAAGCTGAAAACTACAAGAAGCACCGAAGATCGAAGGTAATAGAACAACCACTAAATTACCGAGGAAGATAATGCTTCGAGAAGAATGACATATTTAAAATAGAGGATAAGAATCTTCGAAAGAAGAAGAGCATAAATCGTGCGGTCAGAACGGCACAATGAGGCGATTACAAAAGAGGATCCACGGGATGCACATAAATTCGAAGACGAAAAATTCGCGCTTCAATCGACTCCGACCTCCATCGACATTGGCCCAGGTCGATCCATATGGTCGCAATGTGGGTGAAATATCGGCGACCCCGGTGGTGCAACAATGGCCCCCACGGTTGACTTTCTCGGTCTAGTCGACTTTTCTGGCCCCGGGAGCGGAGAGAAGGGCCATTTGGAAAATAAAGTGTGTTAGCAAAAGACATTCCATTCTCCGACCAGTCTTTCTCTCTCTCTTTCTCTCTCTCTCTCTCTCTCTCTTTCTCTTTCTCTCTTCGTCTCTCCGAGTTGCTGGTGCGGTGCCTCTCCTTTCTGCACGTCGTCCCTTCGTTCTCTGACGACACATGGCAGCGAGGAGAATAGACGCTTTTGTGAATGAAAACAGAAGAGAAACGTTTCGACGTTATTGTACGGCTGAATTGTGACATCGTGATGGCGGAGGATAATTAAGTCTTGCCGGGCAAGGTCTGGAGTGTCCGGACTCTAAACGAGAGCTAGAGAAACTGTGCAGCGGGACTCTCGAATGTTTCCTGGCCATTTCATAGCTTCTGTCTTATGAAATTAAATGTACACTGACACGCTCGACTGTCTGAAACGCTCGGCCATCTCGCTATTACGACTTCCATTTCCATTATTATATCTATTCACGTTCGTAGAAGAGACACGTCGTAATTGCAATTTTTATTTTCTACTTCAATCCAGTGGTGCCTCATTACTTATACCAACTTCTAATCGATTTCTTTCTTGCGGAGAACTTTACCTTATTACGAATCCTTCGCGATGACGTACAAAATATAATTAAAGGATGAAAAGTATGACTGATGGATTGATCGAAGACATAGATCCTATTTTAGAATCGCTCGTTCGTAGATTTCACGCAACAAAGTTTCTTACAATGGATGATTTCCTCAGTCTGGAAATTCAGAAATTATTTTGTAAGCAATATTTATTAGGCAATATTTTGCTTTCTTGCGTAAATTCACTTTAAAGAGTGGAAATCGACCCTCAAATATTCGACGAACTTCTTATTTTATTGCTGTAATTTGCAAACTGTACAAAACAAGAAAAGAAGTTGATTCTTTTTAAATGCGCGACTCCGAGCCCGTGTTTAAAAAAAAATAGGAATTTGTTTATAATTCTCAACGATAGGTGGATCTTTCACAAGTAAAAGTAAAAAAAGTACATTTCGATACGATTCATAGTTTACGAGATAAAAATCCCTAAGTACAGCCTATTTACGCAGGAATTGGTAAAAATCGTAAACTTCGGAGTCCTGTATCTTTTAAACAAATAAGATATTAGTAAAATGATGGGTTAACCCATTACCGTCCTCTGTACCTGCACAGGTACAACTACTTAATCGATAAATTATGTATTTTGAACGACCTTGTTTCAAACAATTTCACTCCTAAAGTGCCCATTGTACACGGCTGAGTACACCCCTAAAACTTGATATGTAAATATATTTTTTTCATTTTATCTTCTTATATAGCATAGTTTATCCCTTATGGACTAATAAATAGAAAAACTGCAGTTTCATTTTGGGCGTTAATGGGTTAAACTCCCCATAATATCACCTGTAGCACATCATATTTAAGTTTGAACTGTGTGGCTTGGAATGACTCTTCTGACCCCGCTGACTTGTCAATTGTTTAAGCAATGAACAATGGAACCGTACAATTCGCTTCTAATATTTATTTCTGCGAACTGAATCGAGAAAAGTCCATAAATTCCATTATCGAAGACCCAAGTGATTCGCGCGACAGCGAAGACGCCTCGCGCCTACAAAATGGCCACCGGCTCGGAGGCAACCGCCGGTTTTTCACGCGTCTCGGGCCGATTAGGCGGCGATCATGATTCCATAAATCGGTGAAACGGCTCGCCGAGTGTTCCCATGATGGCACAAAGCGTCGGGGAATGCGGGGAACACTTAATTTCCGGATCCATCCGTGGCCGGGGCCTCGGGGGCCCGATATTCGCGAGGAGGATTTTGAGGCGAGAGGAACCGAGCGGTAATCAATTGGACGTAGCAGGGAGGTGAGACGAGCGAGGCAGCTAAGACTGGATGTAAATCATCCGGACAAAGCCGCTTAACGATCCGACAAAGGGTCCCGCTCTCGGTCCTCGTCCACGAATTATAGAATCGGGAATACGCGCTGCTCACGGGACCTCTCTCGCCTTTTTAAGTATCCTCGCGGGTTTCACGCGCCGGAACCTTCCACCTCCTTCTCCACCCCTCCTCCTCCTTCCAGCTCAGCCGCCGCCTCATCCTCGAAACCGACGGCTCGTGGCCACCGCGCCGTTACGAAATTTATAGCCATTGGCAGCTTTGTCCTCCGCCATAGAACAAATCTCCGCGCCTCGGATCCGCCGATTTCGCGATTTAAGAGCCCGCACCGAGTCGAATCCGCCACGATCGCTTCTTCCCGCACGCCTGAAATACCTCCTGACCTCCACCCACGCGCGATTTTATACCTCTTGCTCTCTGGATTTATTAAAATTGATCGGTGACACGGGATCCATTAGCTACGCGCTAGGTCCTCTTCCACGGCAGAATGCCGAGGAATGCTGGCGGGGATCACCTTTGGTGCCGGACCCATGGATCGCTTCGTTTTGTTGTTCCCTGGTTTGGAAACTGGCGAACGCTTTCGGGAATTTCGAGGACGATTTCGCTGTCGCTTGACGCATTATTAAAAGAAACATCCCGAATAAATGTCTCACGTCCTCGAAACGTTCGCGATCATTTTGACGAGGTTCTCGAATCAACACCCTGAAAACTGGCATTGCAGGTGATGCTTGACAAATTCGACGACTAGACGTCCGATACGACGAGAACAATATGCAACATTTAGTTATAAAAGTATTTAAATAGAAATGCAAACGTAAGCAAAGACGACGTGCCTTCTATTCATCAATTTTTCCAAACATGTTTTTGAAAATACTTCGCGCATACTTGTTAGCCTTTCCCTTGCTCCAAATGTGACAGTAATTTATTTCGTTTAATTGCCGAGAATTGGTTAATGGACGATTTAAATACGCTGGGTCAAACCGACCCGGTAGCCGCACTGCGAGGCTAATATTATTTCCCAGCTGTTTCAAATTGCACCTAATCGTTTTCTTTACAATAGCGTAAAATCCACCGATCCTCCGATTTACCTGACCCCGACCAAACTCGGGCCCGCTAACGAACCCAAATTTTGCTTAACGTTGCAGGTGGTCAGTTCGATGGACGCGATGAAGTACTCGATGGAGGCGGACAAGTATCGCGCGGCGTACATGCCACCCAGCACCCTGGCAATGAGCATGTACTCGGACCCGAAGTACCTGGACTCGAGTCCGAAGTCGTACCTGGACCGCAGCTACCTGGACTCGGCGAAGGCGTACTTCGAGCAGTCGAAGCTGTACATGGACCAGAAGCCCTCGATCACGGATTACAATCGGCCGAGCTACGAGCACAACAAGCTCTACGAGGAGTCGAGCCCCGGCAGCGTGGTGGGCGGCGGTGGTTCGACGAGGTCGCCCGCGGCGGAGTCGCCGGACATGAGCAAGCAGCACGAGAGAACCGAGCAAGGCTCGTCCAGCGCCAGCTCCACGTCGACGTCTTCGGCAGCGAGTCCTGGAGCAAGCCTGCCGGCCTATTACCCGGGGCCCGTTCAGAGCAGCGGCCTGCTGGGACCACAGATGAGCCAGTACAGCGGCTACCAAACCGCTCCAACACCGGGGAACGAGTCGTTCCGACGACCTCTCACTGTCATCTTCTGACCCGATAGAACGTAGCTCTGATCCTACTTCGAGGAGCAGTTTCCCTAGAGAGCCGGTCCGCGGGACTGGTCCGGAGGTGTTCGGAGGCGAAGCTGTGAAATGTGATTACTGTCGGATCGAGGGCCCGCGCGGTTGGAATGCGTCGGCTCGGTGACGCCCGGTGACGCGGCACGGCACTGGGTGCCCTAAGCGCGAAGCTACCGATGCGGAAAGTCGACCTGGACGTGTGGGCTTCGGAGGGTCTTGTCGGGCTGCTGATAGAGAATGTCACAGTTCTCTACGGGCACCGCTCGAGGAATCGGCTTTCAAGGGAGGTTGCGCCCGCGCGACGTCCGTCGCCGCAAACCCCGCGAGAAACCCTCCTCTTGCCGTCGTCGGAGGCTTTTCCTAAGCCCCGTGGTGGTCCAATCCGAGCCCCCCAGGCGCCGAAACGCAAGTAAGTTAGCGATGCTTCTCTGTGTCAACGGTCAGGAACCGAGCCGACAGAGTCGGGAAACGGCGGACACCGGAGGTGGCTCCCGGACCAGCGAAGAGGACCCAGTCTCACTCGGCCCGCGAGGCGAATCCAGGGCCGCCAACGGTTGCGCATCGCGTTGACAGCAACAACGAAATCGAATCGCTCCGTTCTAACCAACCGTAGGCGCGGAGCAAGACGCAACGATTATTTATCAAGCGTACGGCGGGCGACGAAAGTATTCGAACGGCTTTTAAAGCGGAATGATTTGTTTGGAACTGGACTTGAACGACTCGATTTTTTTTTTTTTTTTTTTTATAAGGGTTAACGCGGTTAACGCAAAGTCAAGTTACAACCGTTAAAGGATCTTGAAAATGGTTTGCTCATGCTTGTTCGAAAGTGTAAAAAATCGGGACAGGAACTGTGATTCTTGCGATCTTTGATTATTTACGGTTCGCATCAAGATTAACCGATTTCGACGAAATTTTCAGCACGCGCATAAGTTGCCTCTGTCGTCTAAAACGAAAATTCGAGTCGTTTGGTCCAGTTCTAAAAAAAGTTACTGCGTTTTGAAATGCGTTCGAATACTTGCTCTCGTTACCCACTGTAGATCTCGCCGCCGCAGACGAGGCGATGCAGAGAAATTGTACATAATCCCTGTGTAAATAGTGTAGCAAGGATTATCGTCGCGCGCAACGCTCGGAAACCGTTCGCCTTCTGTCGCCAACCGCGTTACCTCTCGTTCTGGAAACATTACAGAGCGCTGGGATTTTCGTTCCTTGGAGATCGAACGATTTATGCGGACCGAGTCAGATCCATTTTTTTTTCTTTTTAACTGTGATCAATTAATTGTAACTTGTAACAGAAGTTTTTACGATTTTCGGTTTCTCCAATTTGAATACACGCTTCAATTCGTTTCTCTTCCCTCCTTTCCGCTCCCATTGTCCCTCTTTTGTGCAATTCCTATTACAATCAAATCTCTCCTCGAAAGAGGAGAGTAGTTTAAGCGCTTTTGACATAACCGTGACAGAATATTCTGGACATAACTTTGACGCAACAAAATTTTGTCTAGTGCCGAAATTATATTAATATTCGGAGTAACCTTTTCCTTAGCTACGAAGCCATCTCGCGTTTATGTTCGGTTAAATTAAAATATCACTTACGTACTTTGTTGATCTTCACTGTACACCTTGCTTCAAAATTTCATATGTTACACACGAGGTGTCGTACACACTAGAAAATTGAAACGGCCGTCACGGTTAAATTACTTATTATTTTAGGTCCGAAAAATTAGTAAATATTCTTCAGACGTTCTAAAGTAAAGGTGAACAGCGTTTTTCTTAAAAATATCACTGTTACGTAATAAAAAAAAGTCCGGAAAGTTCTCACTTCGTGATTTGTTCAATACTTCGAACGCGGCTCGAGTCCGTCCCGACCATCTGTCAAAGCCTCGTGCTGCGGGCTCTCGAACTTCGTGCCGTCACCTCTTATTGGTCAGTGTTTTTCGTTAATAACTCGTAAACAAAGCCGCAGATGGCATTTTCGCAAAGGAAAAAGTTACTTCAAATGACCTCAGCTACCCCTCATTTTCGGCTGTTAAAATAATTGTGGNTCAAGATTAACCGATTTCGACGAAATTTTCAGCACGCGCATAAGTTGCCTCTGTCGTCTAAAACGAAAATTCGAGTCGTTTGGTCCAGTTCTAAAAAAAGTTACTGCGTTTTGAAATGCGTTCGAATACTTGCTCTCGTTACCCACTGTAGATCTCGCCGCCGCAGACGAGGCGATGCAGAGAAATTGTACATAATCCCTGTGTAAATAGTGTAGCAAGGATTATCGTCGCGCGCAACGCTCGGAAACCGTTCGCCTTCTGTCGCCAACCGCGTTACCTCTCGTTCTGGAAACATTACAGAGCGCTGGGATTTTCGTTCCTTGGAGATCGAACGATTTATGCGGACCGAGTCAGATCCATTTTTTTTTCTTTTTAACTGTGATCAATTAATTGTAACTTGTAACAGAAGTTTTTACGATTTTCGGTTTCTCCAATTTGAATACACGCTTCAATTCGTTTCTCTTCCCTCCTTTCCGCTCCCATTGTCCCTCTTTTGTGCAATTCCTATTACAATCAAATCTCTCCTCGAAAGAGGAGAGTAGTTTAAGCGCTTTTGACATAACCGTGACAGAATATTCTGGACATAACTTTGACGCAACAAAATTTTGTCTAGTGCCGAAATTATATTAATATTCGGAGTAACCTTTTCCTTAGCTACGAAGCCATCTCGCGTTTATGTTCGGTTAAATTAAAATATCACTTACGTACTTTGTTGATCTTCACTGTACACCTTGCTTCAAAATTTCATATGTTACACACGAGGTGTCGTACACACTAGAAAATTGAAACGGCCGTCACGGTTAAATTACTTATTATTTTAGGTCCGAAAAATTAGTAAATATTCTTCAGACGTTCTAAAGTAAAGGTGAACAGCGTTTTTCTTAAAAATATCACTGTTACGTAATAAAAAAAAGTCCGGAAAGTTCTCACTTCGTGATTTGTTCAATACTTCGAACGCGGCTCGAGTCCGTCCCGACCATCTGTCAAAGCCTCGTGCTGCGGGCTCTCGAACTTCGTGCCGTCACCTCTTATTGGTCAGTGTTTTTCGTTAATAACTCGTAAACAAAGCCGCAGATGGCATTTTCGCAAAGGAAAAAGTTACTTCAAATAACCTCAGCTACCCCTCATTTTCGGCTGTTAAAATAATTCTGGAACACCCTGTATACAGATGAAGAAGTTTATGTACAGAACATATCATTCTCGGCTCGGACTCTACCTGGAGTCGGTCTGTATAAATCAACCATAAGTCGTTTCTTTCTGTCGGTTAGTTTGCTCAGCTGTAACGCCACGTGGTCTTGAAACACTCTAATCAAGGATTAGGTGACGAGACTGGACACGGCTTAGAGGTCTTCTGGTTTGACCATCGGAATATTTAATACTTTCAGACATGTGAGGAAAATTTTATTTATAAAAATTCATTATCCTGGGAGTTATGTCAATGATCGGTTCTTTATGGATTTGGAGTCTTCGAAGGTCGTCCTTTTGCAGATCATTGCTAGTTTTCTTTCAGGTACTGTCGTAACCGTGTTTCGAAACTCTCTTATCAGAAAATTTTCATAGCAATGTTTAGTAACATCATTCTCTACTTGAATCAGCTTCTGTTGAATCATCATTTCGAGGGAAAGGATACTTGAAAATAATTGCGTGAAATATTTAATTTGACGTTTGAACTGTTAACATACGAATTAAATTTTGACTAGTCTCTGTAAATAATCATCAAAGAATATTATTTTGCACAAACGTCGTTGAAGTTGTTCAGAAATCTTTGCAAAAATAGTTATTATTATTTATTGCTAATTATATTGTATTATCTAAGAAACAGAAATAGCGCGTGCTTTGGAAAGTCCAACACCGTAAAGTACCGTCACAACCGTCGCAACGGGGTTCTTTTTGACAGCTGCTACGTTTACACATAAATTTCTGCCGTATCGCAAAAACATTGTAAATAGTTCAGATGGTCGAACGAAACGATGACAATTCGTCAGTTACGTTGCAACGGAACGAATCGAGAGAAAAAGAAACGACAGGATCCGCGACAGGTGCTTCGACGGTGTGTAGAGCTCGCAGGACGAGATCCGTCGCGCGGCCGGAAACCGGAAGGAGAACGCGTTTGCCGCGTGTGCGTTCGTATCGTAATCGGTGTACATAGACGGCCCGGAATCGTTGACGAAATTCTATCGCGTCCCACGAGTTTCTCGGTTTATCGGCGATCGATCGCGATCGTCCGGCAACTGGCCTAGACTAGAGATCGTGGTTTTGAACGTGCATAAACCCTCGAACGGCGGACCATTTTCGCGATTGACGCCATATCGACGATATTTATAACAATTCTGTGCTTTATTCAGCAATACTTCGAAACATATTTTTGAAGATATTTCTGGCAGATTTGTTAGCCTTTTTTGTGTTGTTCCTAATGTAACAGCATAACATTTATTTCATTTAGTTGCCAAAAGTTGACTAATCCAGCGATTTATGTATCATTCCGAGTCAAAATTGGCCCAGCGACCGCCTCGTGAGGATTTTAAAGTCTACGTGTACACGCGCACCTCGTATACACGTATGTACTTCGGTACGCGTCATAGTAAGGACACGTGTCACGCGTAATTTATTTTCTCGCGGTTCGAATTCGTTTTCCAATATGTATAGCACACATTGTACACGTGTAACTAAATACACGTGAAATAGTGCACGCGCATTTAAATACACGCGAAATACAAATAATACTAATAATAATGATAATGATTCACGGTTACACGTGTTCTCAATACGACACGTACACTGATCTATGTGTACACGAAGTTCACCCGCGCGTGAAATAATAAAATAATCTCATGCGTGAAATAAAAATCTCTAGTCTAGACCCTGTCCCCTAGATACGATGTTGTGCGTGTTACGAGCGGGGCTTGGAAACCGAAAAGCCGAACCGTTGCGAAATCCAACGGGAAAAAAACCGAAATCGTGAAAAATAACAGTTGAAAAATTTCAATTCCGCGTCAGCGACGAAATTCTTCTGGACTGCGAATCCTACGAATTTGTGACAAATTGCGTGAGTCAGATGTGAAACAATGCTGTTATTTTTAACTTTGTTGAAATTTTTTGGAGGCAAGAAATCCAGTTACACTGATTTCTCCTTAATTCGCGCTCTGATTGCGCACGAAAATGGACAATTTGGGAAGAGAAGATACGAA